GTATGAACGCTAGGTCGCCACAAGCCAGTTATCCCTCTTTGTTCTTGTTAAAATGGAGCTGCAGTGTTCTGAGTCCAGTCCGAAGAGTATGGAAGTGTGGATGAACTTTTCCAATCTGCAACCTCCAAACTAAATACAATTCAAAGAGGCACGTGTTGCAGAGACAAGGTCAGCTGATCTTCTTCTTCCTCCCTTTTTGGATGGCTTCTTTCAACGGCACAAGTGACCATAACACTGTAGTTAACTGCTGTGCTGCCTTTTTATCAGATACAAAGAAACAAGACAAAACTAAAGAGGATTTAAAGACACTGTAGAAGGGGAAAAAATATGTGAATTATTATGAAAGGATTTCTGAACTGGCACAAATGTAATAAAAGTCTGCAAAGATGTGAAATCTTAAAGAAAAGTCATTGGTAGAAAGAAAATGTAAAAATACACAGCATCAGTTTATTTTACTGTAGTATTGATGGTATTTAGACAACATACATCAACGCTCACATGCTGCATTTTCTGCCTTCATTGTCTCTGCTGTTTCTTTTTAATTATCATCTTATTACTGCACTTATTTCTGCATTATTTATATAACAATTGTATTTGTCATTACCTTTCTCTCTACATATGTCTGTAGATTTGATTTTTAAGTGATGTAAGGTCTATAAATGCCAGATGTTTCTCATACTGTTACAAAAGTGCAAAAGGTGATCATGCTGATACAATTACTGCAAACTACAACTATTACAATTTTACCATTAAAGGGTTTTGCAATCCTTATGTCCCTGTATTGAATATTCATTCTTCTCTTGCTGGACTTGTAGATGTAGAGGAATGATGCACTTCCTTAAAAAGTAAAAAAAGAAAATCTGAGGTTAGGTTCACATAAGTCAGGTTGGCTCAATGTAGCAGCCTCACATGTTTGGAAACCAACACAACAAATGTATTTATTCAAACACACCGACTGTTTTAGTTTCAACCCAAGCTGTTTATTTTCAAATATGTTAGAGCAATGAAAAACAGTCGGTTTGCAAACAATAATATAAACAGTTAGATCAGAGAGGTTGTTCATTACTGTAGATCACACAAATGTATTCACAGAAAAGAATATTCACAGTAATAAATTAACTTAAATAAAAGTACACGCTTGTGTACTTAAACAACAGAGTATATTGTTTGTATTAATGAGGCTTGAAGCAGCACACGTCACCAGAGTTACTGAGCACACAGAAGCTCCGGCCTTGAAGGATACCAGGTAAATCCCACTGCCAAACAACACTTAAGAGTTAGAAAATAACAAAACATCCCTGTCAATCACACATTATCACCAACTTAGACACAGAGGATGTCAGGAAGCCGTGCAAAAATATTTCACCCCATATTTAAGGTCTAAATATTTCTGTCTTCACAGCTTAAATTGCAAAAAAAAAAAACCCCAAACAAACAAAAAAACTACTGACCATATCTCTGACAGTAATTACATATTTTACTGTAATAAAAGGATAATTACACAATTTAATCAGACACCAGAAGTAATGAGTGTGTCTTCTAAAATGTAACTACATTTACTGTGAAGGAAAGTAAGTCGCCTGTTTCCAACGATGCCTTTACGTTTGTTATTTAATTCAGTCACTGACTGACAGTCAGCCATTATTTATCAAGAATGATGCGTTTCTCCTACATATTATAAACATTAGCCTAAAATCAGAGTATTTGCCCCTGGTACTATTTTTGTGCAACTACTACAACTGAGTGTTTTTGGTATATTACCTGATCAGCAGTACAGTTATGATTGTATAGGTCAAGGTGGCCACCTGTGGATAAGGCAATAACTGTTTTAGAAAGAGTTGTACAGTGAAGAGTGGATGGATGCATAGATAGATGAACTAACTTCTGCTGATGGTGATGCAGCCGCTATGAAGAGAGCAAGTGACTGGGCTACCAGTGCTGTCAACGTGGCTATGGCCACAAAGCTTAGGAAGCGATAGGCCACGAAAGGCTGTCCAGTCATCCAGTAAATAATGCTGCAGTAAATGATTGAATAAATCACCTGTAAAGATGATTGATAGTGTCAGTATTCTGTAGTAACATCATGTTGTGGAGTATTAATTTACAGCACAGTAGTGTTACCTGTACAAGTAGCGCAGCTACAGTTCTGGCCAAGTAATAGGCCTCCAGACTGTACCAGTTGTTGCGATGTTCCCTCAAAACGACAGACACCTCCAGAGGAACTGTGGAGCACCAGTGATGTTGATTTATTATAACTGTAACCTAAAAATGAACATGACGGGTGTGGACGACACTTACAGGTCAGGATAGTTGGGATCAGTGCAGCAAACACGAGGAAGAGCATGGAGAAAAAGAGGCAACCAGTGTTGTTGTAAACTTCAGTGACATCATTTCCAATGCTGAGACAGAGACAGCCAATCAGCAGTCCAACAACCAGATGAGACATGAGGCGGAGATGGGTCAGAACCTTGGAAAAATAATGAGAAACATTTGATGTGAACAAAAGCAAAATAAGTAAATTACGTGGGTTTTATAATTATTTTATTTTAAAACTTTTATTAAAATTGAACAAAGAATATACTCACAAAGATGTTGCGTACAGAGAGTCTCCAGGCTCCGGTGTGTGTCCCGGACACTGTACGCAGAATAACTTTGCAAGTTAGAGCCCTTAATAAACTGTTCGTGTGTCACACCAAGATCATGCATTCCTGAACTGTAGCAGCCTGTTTATACTGTAGCAGTAGAATTGACCAGAATAAAAAGAATATTTTTATCTGTGCCACATCAACATCCAACGACAACAGTTAGGTAGATAATCACGCCTGACTAGTGACACACCACTGCTCACAACAGCAGGACGGTTTGGGAGGTGGGAAAAAGAGTTAGTCTCTGTGATTTGGCCGTGTTTGTTCTCCTGGACGTTAGGCTGCAGTGTCCTCTGAGCTGCTCCTCTCACATCTCTGGAGCCTGGTGTGGGGATTCTGACTGAAGTCTGGTCATGTTTCTTGGCAGCCATATTCAATGCTACACAAAAAGGCCACAAGGGTCAGTTGGTTCAGACACATTGATGTTGTAGTGTTATGAAAGAAAAAATAAAATGCAAACTGCAACCTGGCATCAGTAAGCACAAATCATCTTTGAGTTAAAATCTGTGAAATGAATCAGAAAAAACTATTGCCCCGTGTTCTTCCTTATTTAATACAAAAGGTCACTCACACTTCAAAGTCAAAGGCCTTAATGTATTAGGTCACTCTGTGAATAATAAGAACAGATGGGAATCCCATCTGTTCTTATTATTTAGAATAATATTATTAATTATTATTAATAATCTTATTATTAATAATAATATTATTCTTATTATTTTCTTATTATTTAGTTCTTATTATTTATTTAGCAGCTTAGAGGGAACATTGGATGGGATCAATAACCTAAACCAAGTTTAAGTCAAAGGCCTTAATGTATTAGGTCACTCTGTGAATAATAAGAACAGATGGGATCAATAACCTAAACCAAGTTTATTGATAAAATGCGTCAATTCTCACATGTTGCTTTTTCTGCCTTCATTGTGTCTCTGCTATGTTTTTGATCATCTTATCATCAATCATCTTATCATCAATCAGCATCTTATTCCTCTTATTTCTGAATTGTTTATATAACAATTGTATTTGTCATTACTTTAACACGTGTTGCTTTTATTGTTTTGTTTTGGGTTTTTTGTTCTACAGTGGAGAGAAACTAGTCACATAAAACTGCTTTGAAACTGATCGTGTCTCTGACAGTAATTACATATTTTACCGTAATAAAGAGATAAAATAACTACACAATACAATCAGACACCAAAAGTAAAGAGAAGTAAAGTAAACCTTCTCTAGTCTAACTACATTTACTGTGAAGGAAAGTTAGTCGACTGTTTCCAACGATGCCTTTATGTTTTGTTATTTAATTCAGTCACTGGCTGACAGTCGGCCATTGTTTATTTCTGTATGAGGCATCAGTAGTGTTAATCTGCAGCTGAATTTGAGACTAGAAGAACAGAAAGTGGACTTTGAGTGTATCTCATATCTATGTCATGCATTCCTGAACTGTAGCAGCCTGTTTATACTGTAGCAGTAGAATTGACCAGAATAAAAAGAATATTTTTATCCGTGCCACATCAACATCCAAGGACAACAGTTACGTAGGCAATCACGCCTGACTAGTGAATTCAAACTGTTGCAATCCTGCAAAGGTACAGTCTGTTCTGCTGTTGAAACTTTAACTTTAAAATGAACTCCTTTTCATTGTAACACACCACTGCTAGAGACCACATGTGACCTCTGCATTTTACAGAGGTCACAAGTGACAAGGGGGCACCGTGGTATAGGTGCACCTCACTCTTGTGAACTGATAAGCTTTAACTTGAAAGTGAACTCCTTGTCATTGTAACACACCACTGCTCACAACAGCAGGACGGTTTGGGAGGTGGGAAAAAGAGTTAGACTCTGTGATTTGGCCGTGTTTGTTCTCCTGGACGTTAGGCTGCAGTGTCCTCTGAGCTGCTCCTCTCACATCTCTGGAGCCTGGTGTGGGGATTCTGACTGAAGTCTGGTCATGTTTCTTGGCAGCCATATTCAATGCTACACAAAAAGGCCACAAGGGTCAGTTGGTTCAGACACATTGATGTTGTAGTGTTATGAAAGAAAAAATAAAATGCAAACTGCAATTCTATTTGTATCTATCTATTTGTAATGTATTTAATACAAAAAGTCACTCACACTTATCATTGACGGACATTAATGGCATGAGAAGGATATATATATATATATATATATATATATATATATATATATACACACACACATATATATAGTTTTACATTACAAGCACATAATTAAATAATCTATGAACTAAATCATGAGAGTGAGATAAAAGTTTTTAACCTGGACCTAAAATAGTCACATTTCAGCTGCCTTCAGTTGCAGTGGGAGTTTGTTCCACCTGTGTGCAGAATCACAGCTAAATCCTGCTGCACCATTTACTCTAAGAATTCAGATCTCTACTAACTGGCCTGAGTGTGTCGATCTCAGAGCTTATATTGAGATTATATTCCACTAACATTTCATTCATGAATTTTTGGACCTAAACCATGAAGTGATTCGATTTGAGCAGTAGAACTTCATCATGTGTTCTATAGCTGAGTGTGTGTCAGTGTAAAGGCATCAGAATTGGACCAATGGGCTCTGACCTCTTTGTTCTTGTTAAAATCTGATCTGACGTCTGGTTGGGACAGAAAGACTCGTCACTCTGTCTGTGTCATGGAAAGGGTCAAGGACAATAATGTAACAATTCTGTGAATAATAAGAACAGATGGGAAAAAAACCCCAAACCAAGTTTGTTGATAGTGTATCACTCAAACCTTGAAAAAAACAAAATTAAATTCAAGGAGGCAAGTGTTGCAGAGACAAGGTCAGCTGATCTTCTTCTTCCTCCCTTTGTGGATGGCTTCTTTCAACGGCACAAGTGACCATAACACTGTAGTTAACTGCTGTGCTGCCTTTTTATCAGATACAAAGAAACAAGACAAAACTAAAGAGGATTTAAAGACACTGTAGAAGGGGAAAAAATATGTGAATTATTATGAAAGGATTTCTGAACTGGCACAAATGTAATAAAAGTCTGCAAAGATGTGAAATCTTAAAGAAAAGTCATTGGTAGAAAGAAAATGTAAAAATGCACAGCATCAGTTTATTTTACTGTAGTATTGATGGTATTTAGACAACATACATCAACGCTCACATGCTGCATTTTCTGCCTTCATTGTCTCTGCTGTTTCTTTTTAATTATCATCTTATTACTGCACTTATTTCTGCATTATTTATATAACAATTGTATTTGTCATTACCTTTCTCTCTACATATGTCTGTAGATTTGATTTTTAAGTGATGTAAGGTCTATAAATGCCAGATGTTTTTCATACTGTTACAAAAGTGCAAAAGGTGATCATGCTGATACAATTACTGCAAACTACAACTATTACAATTTTACCATTAAAGGGTTTTGCAATCCTTATGTCCCTGTATTGAATATTCATCATTTTTAGATTCTCATACTTTGGTTTAAACTTTCTTCTCTTGCTGGACTTGTAGATGTAGAGGAATGATGCACTTCCTTAAAAAGTAAAAAAAGAAAATCTGAGGTTAGGTTCACATAAGTCAGGTTGGCTCAATGTAGCAGCCTCACATGTTTGGAAACCAACACAACAAATGTATTTATTCAAACACACCGACTGTTTTAGTTTCAACCCAAGCTGTTTATTTTCAAATATGTTAGAGCAATGAAAAACAGTCGGTTTGCAAACAATAATATAAACAGTTAGATCAGAGAGGTTGTTCATTACTGTAGATCACACAAATGTATTCACAGAAAAGAATATTCACAGTAATAAATTAACTTAAATAAAAGTACACGCTTGTGTACTTAAACAACAGAGTATATTGTTTGTATTAATGAGGCTTGAAGCAGCACACGTCACCAGAGTTACTGAGCACACAGAAGCTCCGGCCTTGAAGGATACCAGGTAAATCCCACTGCCAAACAACACTTAAGAGTTAGAAAATAACAAAACATCCCTGTCAATCACACATTATCACCAACTTAGACACAGAGGATGTCAGGAAGCCGTGCAAAAATATTTCACCCCATATTTAAGGTCTAAATATTTCTGTCTTCACAGCTTAAATTGCAAAAAAAAAAAACCCCAAACAAACAAAAAATCTACTGACCATATCTCTGACAGTAATTACATATTTTACTGTAATAAAAGGATAATTACACAATTTAATCAGACACCAGAAGTAATGAGTGTGTCTTCTAAAATGTAACTACATTTACTGTGAAGGAAAGTAAGTCGCCTGTTTCCAACGATGCCTTTACGTTTGTTATTTAATTCAGTCACTGACTGACAGTCAGCCATTATTTATCAAGAATGATGCGTTTCTCCTACATGATTTTTTAAAGCTTTCGATTACCATTCACACATCTTTGACACAACAGACCAACATACTCTATAACACTACATGCATTCTCCTTCTGTATGAGGCATCAGTAGTATTACTCTGCACCTGAACTTGAGACTAGAAGAAGAGAAAAGGGACTGAGTGCAGCAGATGGACAAGCTCCAGAATTCACTTCTAAAATGTGTTCTTTTGTTTATTGATCTGACTCTAATTCACTGTCTTCCACGCCAATCGTTGCATTGAGAAATTAGGTGCAATCAAAACTTTTTTTAAATTGAACAAATAATATACTCACAAAGAAGTTTTTGGGAGCATTGTTCATGTGGCATGCATTCCTGAAATGAAGCAGTCTGTATGATCTGTAGCAGTCCAACTGGTCAGTTTATCTGTGCCACAGCGACATCCATTGACAACAGTTAGGTATGCTATCTGACTATCAAATGCCAGACAGAAACTTATTACATTCATCCAAACTACATTACGCCCCATCACACAGTAAAAGCTGTAATGGGTGCACATTTTCTCAGGTTATAGAAAAACATAATGTGAACTACACTTGACACACAGAAGTAGAACTTTGTGTGGGTGCATATATATATACACTCTATATATATATATATGCTCCCACACAAAGTTCTACACTGAAGAACTAATTTTCAAAAGGTAAGAGCTCCTTTATTAGGAAATGTATGTCCTGACATTTCTAGTGACAGATTGATATAATATGCAGCAGAATTAGCAGCATGTAGTGGCTGTAACTGATACTGCATTCGGGTACTTCCGTATGCCCAGTCCGAAGTCAGAATATAAGTAGTAGCTGTATTTGAGTGGAATTTTGTATTTTTTGAATTAGCAACAAGCCACATAACACTTAAAGATGTGTTTATAATTTAAATACCTGCCTGTGATTTTAACATTTTAACAAATCGAGCACTCCAAAATACAAGCAATCAAAATAGGCCACAGGGATACGATCTGGAACAGAGTTGTGACTGAGCTTTCCTTTGGGCAACAAAGGTTGGGGTCAAAGAAGGAGGAGCGGTGTGTTACAGAGGTTCATTTCTTCATCAGGGAGTCTCTGAGCCCACGAAGAGGAGTATCTCATGAGAGAGGATGAAGGTAAAAAAATAGAAGCAGAGATCAGAGAAGACATCGCCCATCCTCCGGTATGTGTCCATTGAGCGGTTAATGACCTCGGCTGGGATGCCGGACAGCAGCAGGGCAGCCGTGAGTACGGTGGTCTTGGTCTTCTTCTCCACCTGGAGCAACAACAGTATCAAAAGCAATAACATTAATTGAGATAATAAATAAATAAATAAATAAAACCACATGATACTGTTTCAATATGAAAACCTTATGCAAACTCACCTTTGGGAAGTATTTTGACAACCCCATGTAGGCAAGTTCAAGAGTCAGAAATGGAGCAAATATAGACTGAAAGGGAAAAAAACACATCACACACAATTACAGGGGTTTATACAATAGGAGTTAGTCAAAGAACAGGAAGCAGAGTTCCTTGTTTCACATAGGCGGTGTGTCCCATGTTTTTATACTCTCTGGCACTACACAGACCAAGTCTTCGTAAATAATATTTGGCACTAGCAAAAAGCTGAAGGAGTGGCACCTGTTACAAAAGCATGTTCTATTTTGTATTAAAAAGCCAATCATTAAGCTTTCATGGGCCAACTCGCATCTACTGACCTCAAACTCACCAAATATTTGCAAACAAAAAGCCTGACAAAAATAGCAAGGAGGATGCTGCCAATCAGCCTAAAGACTCTGAAGGTGTCAAACTCCTCGGAATCAGATTCCTCGTCCTGGGGTGGTTTATTGTTGGCCAGCTTCATAGCATCATCAAAAGACAGATACGTCTGGAATCCTCGGCGTGGAGAGCCACTGAGGTCATCTGACACCCGCTCTCCTCTGGGTCTCTGGCGTAACACTCCGATGTCATCCTCCAGCGAAGCTACAGGTGACTCATTGCAGCCTGGCAGCGGTGAGCCCCGTCTTTCTGGGGTGGCACTGTGGGAGCGACTTCCATACCCAGAAGCCTCGGGCAGGAAGGGAGATGGCCTGGGTGAAGATGAGGAAGAAGACCACTGCTCTGTTCTATCAAGGTCAAGGTGAAATCGGGGCTCTGTTGGACGTCGAGATGCTCCTACAGAGGATGTAGGAAAATAATGAATGACAGCACTGAGGTCGTAAGTCTGTACAATGTTAAGGGAACATTCATTCATTTGTTATATCTTCTCTAAGACCACCAACCACTCTTCCACTCTGTGTGCCCTGCTGATCTAGATTAATTTCACATAGCTAATCTGGCAAAAATCACACTGTAATTAGACCCATATCCCCTGGTTTGGACGGATGGCTGTACCTGTTTGCTTTATTCAGGTCACAAGCTGGCCACAGCTTTGACATCTCTCTAGTAAAGGCCACATCTGTTGTGTATGTAGCACTATATCTGTATAAATGCTGACAATTGTAAAGGTTATCACAGCCACTTTAACCTCACATCCTAATCAACAGCCTCACTGCAATAAAGGGTTAGGGTTAAGAAGATTATACTTTCTGGGTCATTCCAACAATCAATAGAATATTATCAATTACAGACCAATCTAAACCATAAATTGGATGTGAATTTACCAGCAGACGTTACTCAGCACATCTGTATCAAAGATCATGACGACATCATTATGTTGTTGTGTTCTAATAAAGACAGTAGGCTAAGTAGCAAAAGCAAAATTGGGAAAACCGTCAAGACCACATACATAATACAGCAGGGGCGATAGTGTCTCGTCTCATACCATTGTTTTCAGACTCGTTTTTAGCGTAGCCTACAATCCTGTTCATTCTGTCCTCTGAATTCATGAGCAGCTTCCTCCTGCGGATCTCTGCTCTACGTTGTGCCACTGAAATGGAGCTGGTCTTCTCTTCGGCTGTCTCTGCAGACTCCATGTTGACAAGTACAAACGTAAGCCAGCAAATACTTTCTGGAATGAGGCAACGACCACAAATACGCAGCAACACAAAGGGCTCCAGCAGTCAACTAGACGGTAAACATAGCCGTGTGGACAATGGGACGTCAAGCTTCCGCGGCGCACAGTGTTGACGTCATCATACAACAAGGTGGGTTGTTTTTTAAAATATATTTTTTTAAATGAAGGAAACACAGTTGCCGTTTCCTTAAATTAAATTAAATTAAGAGAACACAAAAAGGCATCAGCACCATTTGCAGACCCGACTATTCAAAGTGTTTTAAATATGGTTCAAATATTACTAATGCGCCTCTTCCTTATCTCCCTTCCTTACGTAACTTATGTGGTGCAAAAATGTAGGAACTTACTAAAGTAAACTAAATGTGGTGCCTGATTTACTCTAGCAGATGATGCTGCGTTTCGGTGCAAAACGACACCTTAGTATTGGGAGGGCAGTGTTACGTAGTCAGCACGTCTCCTCTGCCGTACCCAGGAAGACGAAGAAGACGTAAACTGCAACATGGCGACTCCCATGCACAGATTAATCGCAAGAAGACAGGCGTGAGTTTATATTTGTGTTATTCGTTTCATTAACAACTATATTTAATTTTGTCTGAAATACATTATTCTCGAAACAGTCGTGACCCCCGGCTTAAACGTATGAAATGAGTAATAGGCGCTATTCGTGCCAAAAGAAACTCTAATGCGTCGCTTTGTTTGGGAACCGAATTTATTAGTGTTCCATCACGAGGTAGTTCTCTTTATATTTAGGTCTGTATCGAGCATTTGAGGTCACTACAAAGATTACAGATTATTTACAATTGATATTCAACGCTGTTCAGCGGCAATTCGTTTTACTAATGCTTCATCACTGCCTTTAATCGACATGTAAATAGGACGTACATTAGATATACATAAGCCCTCCATTAAAGCAGAAAAAAATAAATGTTAAAATATTATACCTACGCCATCAAAAATAGTATATAATAATATAAATACTAACAATTGTTATATATATTTTTGAATGATTTCCCCAAATCATAAACCATTTCTGGATTTTGCCCTGAAGATTTGATGTTCTCAGTTTGTAGTTTTATGTCGGTTTTCATGCATTATGATCTAACTCCAACTCACTCCAGAGACTTTCCCAGAGAAGTAGTGTGCTGGTGAATGGTTCTTTGTTTTATCCTTTTATTTTAATTTTAAAATTGGCAATGTGTTCTTTGTTATCGTGTATTCATTAGAAAATCAGTAACCTCACACTTATTTTTACTTTTTTTTTTTAGAGAAGCAAACAAACAGCATGTGCGTTGCCAGAAGTGTTTGGAGATGGGACACTGGACCTACGAGTGCACAGGAAAGAGGAAATATGTGCACAGACCTACACGGACAGTGGAGCTGAAACAAAAAATTAAGGCTTATGAAAACCAACAGCAAAGCATTACTGGGTGAGGCATTTCTCTTCATTTCACTGTCTTTCTTTTATATATATATATAGTTCTTTTATAGAATGCATAAAACACTTAGCGGGATGTTCTGCAATCCTTATACAATAATTAGTATCAGTGTCTTTTTAACTCCTTTTTTTAGTTTTAGTCCAACTTAAATATACACTATGTTAAAAAGCCAAAAAGATGTATAGAATACTCAACAAAATATGCTTAACCATAGTCAAAATACAAAATACACAAAATACTATTGTTTTTTATTTATAGACCAGAAACAGAAGGGTCCAGTGAGAAAAAGGCCAAAAAGAAGTAAGTAACTATGGTTTGTGTCACATGTAAATATTTTTTTAAAATAAATATTTCAAAATTTTGAAACATTTATTTTAATGTCACTATTAATTAATCATGTATATACTTTGAATAATGTAATGTGTCATTGGAAATAAACAGATTTGGATTACGATTAGGTCGTAATAGTTCGTTTCACACTTAAAACCTAAATTGGGCCCGTTTTGAAATGCTTCCCACTACTGGAGGTTTTGAGTAACTACACATTTAATAAATCCAGATAAATTTAAAAAATGTACCATACATAGCATAGTAGTACCAAGGTAAAGCTTTCTAAGTCCATACAGTTAAAAGGCCTTTTTACATTACTCTGTTCACTTGAAGTTTCCTAGTAACTACTTGAAGATAATACAGAACATTTCTACGCTGTTTATCAAATATACATTTGTTTGAGTTGGACTTTTTAAAGAGTAGCAGCTGTTTGTAGGAGGGCCAGATGCTGTCAAAGATTGGAGGAGGTGAGGGTGAGACATCAGCAACTGTTCAATCAAGTGTTGCTTCATCCTTACCCAACACACTGAGCCCTCATTTGCAAAATTATGGTGAAGGGAGAGAAATAGAAGTAGATGTATAGAGATAGATATTTGTGTTATACCATTTTGACAATGGCAAATTATGATAGTAAAATGTAAAATGCACTGCTATTACTGCAGCATATTGTTTTAAACAAAGTGGGTTTTTTGTTAAACAGCAAGCACTTTCAATCTAAATTTGAAAATGTCTCTTTTCTCTATTTTACATGTCATTAGAATACTTTATTTTTTCCATCTCTGTTTTATTTCACTTTTACCCTTGTTTCCTTTTCCCTTGGCTTTGTCCCATCTGAACAGCCACTGAAGCCCATGTCGTATCTAGGTTGTTCAAATGTGTTTTTACCACTATATGCACTGATAATATCGTGTTCTTGTTCATTCCTCTGTGCACTCCCACTTCACCTCTCAGAGCTAAAGACTCCAGCGACAGCAGCAGCGATTCCGATTCAGACAGTTCCTCGAGTGACTCATCGGCTGACAGCAGCGACTCCTCCAGCTCCTCCTCAGATGACAGTGACAGCAGCAGTGACAGCTCCTCCTCATCCTCATCCTCCTCGTCTTCAGATTCAGACTCAGGAAGCAGCAGTGATTCAGATCAGGGACCTCCAAAGAAAAAGAAAAAGAAGAAATAAACCATTGAACTGTTTAGTGGCTTTTCTTTTTTCCCAGTCTGTACATTTTAGGGTTATGAAACTCAGAGCTGCAAACTGCTTGTACAGCTATGTTGGCAGAAATATGATAAGGATTAAATTAGACGTTGCATTTGCTGACAAACTATATGGTCTGTTTCTAACATTGTACTCGTACTAACATTTTCCTGAGGTTGTAGTCTGCTGACAAGGAAATTTGCTGAAAATAATTTGCTATGTCACATGAAAGCCTGTGATTTTTGTACTAAAGTATATTTTATAGTCTAACAAAGTATATTACTCAACCTAAACCTTGACAACTTCATGTGTAGAATTGGGAAGAAAAAAATGTTAGTATGCGCCCCTTAGAAAAGGAACACAGAATAATTTTTTTGATACTGTATGTTGAGACTGGAGTAAAATGGTGTTGCTATGGAAATACTTGTTTCCGAGTAAAATAAATGTTTAATAAAACTGGCTTTGCCTGAAATCACTTTATGAATAGTAATCATATTAAACCTGTGCCTCCTAGTTCTATGAATTATCTTTATTATTTAAGAACACATGGTTCTCGTTTAAAATTTTACAAATGAAATCTTTGTCATTCTTGGTGTGTAAAAATTCTGAGCTGCTAATTGTCATCTTCAAGATATTTTTGGTGAGGACGAAACCCACGTTTCTGTTTTATGTATGGTTAATTATATGCAACAACAGTAAACAATCTAGTTGTCACGTGTTTGTTTCATTCAAGATGGATCTCTGTAATACTGTAATTTCCGAAGTGGACGTCAACGGAGTGTTGAGTCTGAGTAACGTGTGCGTCACAAAATGTTGCATTAGAAACTGTGGGGATTATTGAAGTTTTATGTGGATATCAACGATACACAGAGCTGTTGAGGAATCATTGGATAAAGATCAACTTCTTGCATTTGCTTGAAACTGTCGATCAATTAAGGATATTGGTGTGCTTGGACAATTTGTATTCTTTTATTTTTTCAATATATAACTCAAGTAAACCCTGATCATTTTTAGTCAAATGGTAATTTTCATCGAAAAGAAAATAGAAAGTTTGGTTCCTGTATACTGGTTTTGGCTGATTATAATTCGGTATGAGATTTTTCCGAATGTATTTGAAGGCAGCACCGCTTGCTGCCATCCATGCATCTAGTCCTGTCTGTGGTGGTACCTGCTGGCTACTTAACTTAGCCAGCTTTCTTTACCTATCAGTCACTTCTCTTTAGGAATAATGAGATGATCGACACATAGAAATGGTTTTCTTTCGCTCAACGCGTTCTGTACGGGCGTGTTTTAACACAAATATGTAGACTGCCCGTTCAATGTTACTATTTTAGCTGTTAACAGCGTCCTGTCGAGTCCATTTTGCGTCTATCTGGAAGTGGAAAAAAAGACAAAGAGAAAAGAGCTTTCCAGTAGCTGAGAATGGTTTGGGCCTGAAAAGAAGACCAGAGGTATGGATACCGAATGTCACAAAAACCCTATTTTGGTAATTAAATGTACTTAGTGATTATTTGTATTTTTTGGCGAGTGTTATTGTTTTTCTCAAAAAATCTAATGATTTCTGATCTAGACAGCCGTTAGCTTAGCCACTAGCAGGTCCGGATGGCTAACAAAATGCTAAAGCTAAATTGAATATAGTTTTATACATATATCAATTAAAATGGTCCTAATGAGTAGTCATTTAAGCTACTTCATTGCGTTATTGTCGAAGTTCTAATTATTTCGCTGACGTAATGTGATTATTTTAGAATTGCGGTGTCAGTCTGTTGTGATGGGGACTGTTTTTGATCCTGTAATGTTAGCAAACACTTCGATTTATGACGTATGGTGTTTTTGTTTATTCTCTATTTGGCCTTTGTTGTCCTCTGATAAATTTAAATGCATACATAATTCGAAGTCCCAATTATTTTTATCGGCCCCAAGATACTGCTTTGCTTTTAAGAGTTAATAACAAACCAAGGATAAGCCCGTCGATTTGTGTCACTGGTGTTAATTTTGGCTTTATAAGCTAAATATTCATTTCTAACTACATCACCTTTTGTATGTCTTGCATTATAACACCTCTGTTTTTTATAACACGGTCAAAGAGAGTTGTAATTTGACTCGTAGTGACAAGCAGAAACTTTTAGTATTGTTGTCATACATGCAGTTCTGTATTCATAATACTTTCCATTAGCTTTACCAAGTTAAAATCCTTAATGATGTTACTTGTAAACTGAGGTCCGATGACAACACAATACCCAGTATGTTTAGTTTTGGTTTAGCTGAAGGGACAGCTGATGATGATGTGCTTTTCTGGGAAGCCATTTTACGTGCCACAGTTGGGGGAAGGGCCGGAAAATGTACTACAAGTCCAGAGTAACTCGCAGCACTTATCACTGATGCATGTGTACACACCTTATAGCTCACTGTGGCTCACCAGTCAACTTGTTATCTCAGTGGACGCTGCGTTGTAGTGGGGCAAGAAGAGAGGGGCATGAACTCATTTATGACAGTTAGCCGTGAACTGGTACCACTCTCTGTACTGTCTGTGCAGGCTGGATGTTGGTCGTGTGGGTGTAGTTGTTTATTATGTACACTCTGGTGGACAGTACGTGTGGACCTGCACTCGGGCTTTTGTGGCTTATAGTCCAAAATACAACGTAAAAGATGGTCGTCTTTCCTGGTAACTGAATGTAGTACTTCGTTTTTAAAAAGGATTTTGTGACAAGGGCTATCCTTGAGGGTTTTTCTTCTCCACACTTTGATGTAGTGCACCCTCATCTAAGAAAACTTGTATAGGAAACTGCCTCAGCTGAGAGTCTAAGCTCAGAATGAGAAACACTTTATTGATCCCTTGAGGGAAATTGTCATTCAAGAGCATTTAAGAGAAATCGACTTAAGTTTAAGAATTTGAAATATTTGTTTATGAAGTATACAAATATAAGAATGGATAGGATATAAGCAAAATTTGAGTATAAGCTGTACCTAGTGTGAATTTGCAGTTCACAAAACATTTTGAAGGAGCGCTATTTAAACATAGCCCCTATAAAAACCTTTTCTAACTTATATGGCGCCTTAGTGTGTCCAAAAAATATTTTCATGTCAGAAATTGTAGTCCATTATAGGTTTTTTTTCACACCATATGTCTCAAGGTTAGTGACATCACAAATGTAATGATAACAGGAATACAATTTAAACTGTTGAAAAGCAAGAGCACCTGACCTGGGATCTTTATGATAATGATAAAAATGCAGGAGTTTTGAATAAGATTCAATTAAATGTTTGAACAGAGAAATTAGGACATACAATTGGTTTAGTCAGAATTATCTTGGCTATGTCTTACTCTTTTTTTTCCAGTGTTTATCAACGTAATTTCATTTTATTAATATGGTAAAAGCATTGGCTGTTTTATCTGACAGATAAAATGTTTCTGCTGCTCCTTGTGACACAGCTCTGTCTAAAGTCACTTACTTCCTGTTTTGTGGTTTTCATTGTAACTGACTTGTTAAGCCAAGCAAAGGGCACAGAGACATGTTTTGCTATAATGTCATGTTGACTTGTTTATCCACTCTGGACAGAGGAGGTTATGCTTGTTCTGTTGGGCTTTGACTTGTCTTTTGCACTGGGTTGTCTACAGCGTTGTTTTATACTGCCTTTTAGTTTTAATATTCTTCTCTACAACTAACTTGAGGGATTTTTTTTAGATCATCACAATTGTATGATGTCATAAGTGGAGCAGTGCTTACAATTCTGAGCAGTTTTCAACATTTATTCAACCCCAGTAAACATAGAAGCACATTTTGTCCTTGGGTTGCTCTTGTCTTTTACAATAAAATGTCCTCCATTAAAATATAATTCTAACATTTGTATGAGAGCTTTTCCAGAAGCTCTGTAATTGTCCTTAATCAAATCAGGCAGCAGCAGGTCTTGTTTCATTCCTTAGTAACAAAGCCCACATAGGAAAACAATATGCTCTTTACTTTGTTGGGACATAGTGCATCTGTTGTTCAGCTTTTGTTTTATGACATGTCAGTTTGTCTCTCATGTGACTTTGTAATTTTGTGGAGGTGAAACTTGTGATGGCCTTTCATTTCTTTTATTTTCGTGTTATGTGGTGTAGTGCTACGTTAGTCGCAGTTAATTGCAGGAACATTCTTAAGTTCATGAATCCCCCCCCCCACAAGGGATTAAGGAAATAACTGGAATTTACTAGTAAGAAGGGGGCGTACTGTTGTGTTGAGGAAGGTCTGGCAGACCAAATTAATTTCAGTTTCAGCATTTTCCCCAAAGTAAAAAAAAAAAAAAGTTATTTCTTTTGTTAATTGAGAATAGCTGTAAATATGGCAACATGAGGGCAGAAAGTTTGGGAACCACTGTCCTATTCTATAATCTTGATATTTAATTTTTACAGATATGTACACAGTTAAATATTTGTTTTCAATGGGTAAGGGTACATTTCCTGAGTACAATTTCCAGGCCAAGTGAAGAATAAACTAAAATACTGTAAGGTTTGATGTGAAATCTAGCTGGGACAACACATCATTTTCATTGTGCACTGCAATGTTGTTTGCTTACTGGTACTGAGAAATATTCCTCCATCCATCAGTCATTTCAGTTCACTTCAGTTTTGGCAGTACATGTATCTGGGGATGGATACCAAGTTTATTTTCAGTTCAGAAGAATAGGTAAACTATAGTTCGACATGTTTCTATTTGTAGACAGACACGTACTAAGACAGTAAGTGTCAAATATAGTATAAGTCCACCCCACCCCCATCTCCTAAATTGAGGATGATGTTCGACCTGTATAACTGCTAATTATAGTGGGGTATGATTTTGTTCATGACTGCAGTTTAAGTAGGTCATGTTTCATCCTGGGTAGGTAACTGTGGTTGGTTTATAAAATATGAAGATCCATGACTAAGATGTGGTGTATTTGAGTTGGGTTAGGTTAGTCTTTGGCAACTTACATGCAAGTAAGTAGACTTTAAGTAAGTAGTAGATTAATCCAGGTGGAATTAATCTGTGTGACGACAGTTAATGCAGGTGGAATTAATCTGTGTGACGACAGAAGTATGTTGTCAAAGTGTCTTGCTCTTTGACCAAACAATGAGATAGAATGCAAATGTCTCCGTAGCTCACGCCTTGTTTTACTAGATTACAATATGTGGCCAAAGGCACTAGAAACTGTTTTGTAAAATAGCTGTTGACATATTCCTCTCTTGTACAACTCATTTTAAATAGCTGAATTGTGTAACTTTTAACACATTTCTCTTTCTGAATAACAGAGTTGCTCAGGTTCTGAAATTTAATGTAACCCAAGTACACCTAACATATGGAGTTTATCTGTATTTCTATTGACAAGCCTGTTTTGGTTTGAGGCCGAGGGCGGTTGGCTATAGTCAAATGCTGACTATAGTTCACGAGCCTCTGTAGTTGTGTAAAAACAGAAAATCCTCATTAGATACATTGTGTGCACATTGAGGAAACCTTTGCGATGTCGATCCTTTAGAAACAATAAATAGGGTGTGTTGGCACAAAAAATTATTATTTCTGTTGTCATTATTTTGAGTGATGTTTTTAAGAGACTTTGGAGATAGTGACATCCTAGCGATCAACTTTTTAATTTGTTATGTATAATGTTGGTTTTCCTGGATGTAAAAGGACTGTGAATGTGCTTTAATTAGCTTTGTAAAAGCAGCACAGTCACTGGAACAAGCCACGGTTGGTAAATTCTTCGAGCCCCCTCTGAGGGGGACAATGCAGGCCTGCTGAGGGGAGGCATTTCAGTGGGCTACTCAAATGCTTCAAACATGCCAGAATAAAAGTGTTTAAGCTGTTGTTTGAAGAGCATGTCAGTCAACATTCAAGAGTCTTGTTTTGATATGTTAATTGGTGCTGATCTAAAAGCCGTGTGACAATATTAAAGGGGCTCAAAGACTGAATAAACAAAAGAACCTAGAACAATTAAAATTAATCACATGGTTTGACATTTTTCTCCCAAGACACAAATCACAGAAATAAACATTTAGAGAAAATCGGTTGAATTAATACTGAAGAAAATCTAAAGTAAAAGTTTTCTTTTGCTGACAGATATTTATAGCATTGTAATTTCAGAAAAATAATGGATATTTTCCTCATTATTTTTTACACATTCCTTCACACACTGTTTCAAACAGCTGCTTCAATGAGAGAGGTTTACAGCATTTGAAAGGACACTACTCTGGAATTCCTGCCGTAAGCAGATCTGCCTCCAAAAGCTCCAGGGCTGGTGGCACTGCCCATCTGTACCTCTTTACTGCTAAGATGTTTTTGTGCAGATTCAGGTCAAACTTTGTACTTTGTAATGATGAGACACGGGAAGACAAATGAGGGCATTGACAGCTTAAGCAGTGTTATATATATTATGCATTAAATGAAACGTAACTATTTGCATTTATGTTCTGACATCAAGTTTCAAAATTATGTCCATTGTCCTTCAAAATCATTGTAGATAAAGCTTGGCATTGGAAAACTGCTGCTGCTTTTCAGAATAAAGTGTTCACACTTTGAACTAGCAAAAAAAGCAGGATGGACAAATTTTAAATTGTCTCTCCAAGCTGGTTGTGGGGCTAAATATTGTGAATTAAAAACAAAACTGTCCAACAAGTTACTCATGCAGTCTCATCGGCCATCACTGTTCGCCAAACTTTCATGTGTGCTGATGTTATCTTCTTTGCAGCTGGCTTTAGATTAGGTTCAATTAAATTTAGATGTAATACTGCCACCTACTGGTGCTACCACTGTGTAATTTGGGAACAAAACACTAAAAGCTTGCTACTCAATAAAGTAGAGAAGTCATTGACATGTGCCGAATCAGAAAGGTATGCTTAAATAGAGTCTATAAATGGTAAGAGGTCAAGCTACATTCTTTTTTCTTTTTTTTTGATGTAACAGAAAATCATAAATGTTGTAGCATGCCTGCCAGTTTTTTTTTAAATTTTCAACAAGGTCAAAGATATATGCTATGTTATGTTTTAAGAACTTCTGTCATCTTGATTTAAGCAAAGAAGTAATCAAAAGCCAGTTCAACCAATTCTTCAGATGCTATCTTTGTACCAGTGGTTAAAAAGACTTGTGATGATGATAACACCTCTGTCAACATGTGTCATCATCCTGTAGCTGATGAAAATGTCTCCACTGTGCTTCAAACTGCACACTGCGAACTATACAGGGTCCCTTTAACAGGCTGCTCTGGTGCTTTGCCCTCTGCTCAGGGCATAGTGGGTGACGAAAGGAGGGAGGAAGATTGTTGATGGAAAAATGAGCTCTGATTGGCTGGGACTTGCACAGGGCAGTGACATCACACCAGAGGAGAGGCCTTGTGGTGTAAAATAACATCTCCTTTTATGGGACAGGGCAGACTGATCCATTGTCAGAGAAAGGGGAAAGTTGTTCAACATTATTTCCCCCATGGCTGTTTTATGTGACTATTATAATACAAAGTTCAAAAAAGTATTTAAAGTGTCGGCAATACGAAGGTAATACAAAGTCCAAAAAAAGTATATGAAGTGTCTAAGACAAGGTAATTGTTAGTAGAATATTTTGATGATTTTTAAACTTAGGTTTTTTTAACTAGGTTTCATATAATAAAAAATAAAATTAAACTTTTTATCTTTATCAAAAAAAGTGTTTTAGGGAATCATTTGTTACAGTTTGAGCTTTTTAAATCAACATAGTTATAAATATTATTTTCCAAAAAACAATGCTCGGGCTGGGCCCCTACAACAATTAAGGCTTAAAAATGCTATATAAACACTCTTCTTCTCCTTTGTGAACTGTCTGACACTTACTCCACATTAGCAAACCACACACAGACAGAAGGAAACGTTCTGTTTGCCGATGAGCTTAGCTGAACATGTGGCTTACCCCTGCTGTTTGCTGATGTGGTATCTCCCAAGAAGGAGCAGCCAGTCACCTCCCCACTTACTAAGTCATATTTCTCTGTACTCTAAGGAAATGTACTGTTTTACCGATTGGAGCAAAGAAAATCTGTTTTCAACTGTCTTTTCAGCTGGACGCTCAGTGATTTAATTAGAAGACTGCCTGGTGGTCTTCAGTGAATAGGGGTGCCATAGATATTTTAGACTGACAAAGTCATGTCGAGAGAACCTCTGAATTTTATGGAGATCTGCTAAGCCCTCCCCTCCACCTTCAAATGTTTCAGTGATTGTGGCCATGGCCTCTCAGTCAGGGTAAGAAATGTACAAACAGTTGGCAGATTTAACCTTTTTGGTTCAGAGTCTGTCTGGTAGGAATAAAGTCATATTTTTTGTTTTCTTTTATTTCTCTCTCTTTCTCTCTGTACATATTTTAATGTTTGTGTATAAAGGCTGCATCGGTCTGTGTCACACAACCACCAGTCTTGTAGTCACATTGCTCAGATAACCATCAGTTCTTTGCCTTATTTACTGAATTTCTGCTTGTATCAAAGACATGGCTTGGCTGTAATGTTGTGACTGAGGCAGATGAGCTGATTAATTTAGGTACAGAGTGAACTGACTTTTCCACTCTTCAGACTTTGACCTCTTCACTCCGGCTTACATAGCTAAATGATTGCAATAAATGACAATAATGAAAGTGACCATGCCTTATTATACTATGTAGTTTAAATTCAAAGAAATACTCACTGTACTATAATATTAGGAGCGCTACAGAGAGCTTCTGCTGCAGAAGCTTATTTATGATATTTGCCTCTGATGTCTGCTATTCAAATGACTCATTTATGGATTATGGGCTTCCTCTGTATTTTTCCACCCAGGACTCATACTGGGAGGAGGCCTGTGTCAAAAGTCTTACTCATAGATAGTGTTTAAGGACCAGGTGTATTTGCATGAACCACTTCCATCTGCTGGCCTGTAAAAAAACAAACAAACAAATAGAAGCAAGGGAACTTTTCGTACTAAGCTAGAAAATTAAAGATTCAATGTCATAGTTAAAAGTGCTTTAATTACACTTGGATCTTATACTGGGGCTAGAGTTGGATGAGAAGGTTTGGTTCCATCAGTCCTGAAATTCCAGGTTGGGTTCTACCCTTTGTAAAAACTCTGCCAAATCTCTGTGCAGTCTACCACTGGGACAACCCCTGATAAAAGGGACACTGAAGCTGTCTGCCTATTCACACTTGAATGTTTCTGGTGTTATGACGACAACAGAAAAACACCAACCGCCCATGTTGTAGTAGTTGTTTTGCCCCGTGTTATACTCTCTCCTTAGCTTAATTTTGCCTAACAATTAAACTTCTTTTGTCATGCAAAGCTCTGAGACCTCACTCAAGCTCTCTGAGTCCTTTTTTTCCCTCAGGGCAACGCGAATGTGAGACGTTACAAACAGCAAGAAGCTCAGTGGCAGTTAATGAACTTGATTGTTGCTCTTTAAGCATTAAATACCACTGGTTGACTTACTGTAAAACGTAATAAATATCATTCAACTTTCTGGTATTAAATTTTAAATTAAAATTTCTGACAATAGCACAGATGTTTAATGGTAATGCCTTTTGGGCCCAATTTCTTCCTTAACTTAAGTAGGCTAGGTTACATGAAATTACACCACTGTGTATGTTGTTGCTGATGAAACAACCTGCAAATGTGCTGGAAATGTTTCAGCCAGTTGAAAAGAAGTTGAACAGTAAAATTGTGAAGTTGTGATTAATAGTGTGAGAGTGTCAATTGATCATCTCTTCTTACATGAAATTAAACTCCCTAGTGTGTTGCGTGTGTGGGCGCTTATGGTCTAGGAGGCGACTAGTGGGTTATGGCCTAATCATGCTGTGTAAACTGCATTTAAAAAAAGAAGGTTGTGGTTGTTGCTAGCAAAGCCTGAAAGTTGTCAACTCGGAGGGAGGTGTGACACGGGTGGCTGATGATTTGCTTCTTTGGCCTAAACAAACTATGTTGTTGCTTTTGTGTTAAAGTATGTACACACAACAACAGCCACATTTCCAAAGCTGACTGTTTCCAGTCAGGCTTATGTTTAAATGTTCATGGTTTGAGCGTTTTACATTGAGCTTTGTTCTGTGTTGAATGTTCTGGTTGTCTTCACTGTAACAGCATGGGTGTAAATTGAACCCAGACATTCACTCGGAAGGACACTGTCCTGAAATTGCTCCTTGTTTTGGCACATTCAGGCCACTCAGAGTGGCAGTACGTTTAAGCTGTATAAGACACGAGTATGTGTTGTACAGCTGTGGTTTGAGAAAAGACAATTAGCTTTGTTCTTTTTCCTCATCGATTTTTTTGTTGTTGTTGTTGTTTAAGGTGTTGATCCAACAGTGTTGGATATGTAGTTCTCTTGCTGTCTTTAAAAGAACATTGTAGACTAGAGAAGTAAACTGCTGCACAGTATCCAGACTACCTAAGCCTATTAGCACGTACTTTCTCTGCAGGTCTTTTCTGTGACTCATTGACCCTCGAGCCTAATTCCCAATGTATGGAGTCTTCTAATAACAGCCTGACTTGTAGTTCACCCAAAAACTGTGACTCTGTCATATAAATATGGACGTCGTTACTACATCGTTGTTGTGAACAATTTAGTATTGTGTTGCAATAAAAGCATCGTTGCCTTAAGAGAGAACTGCTGTTTAGAATTTATAATATTTATTTAATATATATTAAGTTTTCTTTAGGGCAATGGTTTTTGAACAACACAATTGGTAGAAGAATAGAAGAGAAGCCCGTATTGCAAACACAGCAGAACAGAGCAACAACATTAGGTTAGCAGCTCCAGTACAAATGCTGGTAAAGCAAATCTAAAATAAGAAATACTAACCTTGGTGGCTTAACATATGAATATCTTGAAAAAATTAGTAAACACTGTCTAAGAAAACATTTTTATAATACATATAAGCTGACAGTATAGTTTGGGGTTTGTTTGTTTTTGAGAGAAACCAGAGAATTGTGCTCATTTTCTCACTGTTTACACACCAAAAAAAAAAAATCAAACAAAAAACTGGTTGATTGATAAACAGAAAAAAGTAAGTAATGAATACATTTTTAATTTACATGTATAATGTAAAACTTGCATTTACAATAAGATGTTATTGTAGCATATTAAATGCTAATATGTTTACATTTTTTTTTGTTGCTTTTTTCAGGGCACAAAACAATAAAGTTTATATGCCACGAAAGCCTTCTTAACAAAGTCTTGTGTTTTGTTGTTTATTTTAGCAACATGAACCGTGAGGACCGAAATGTGCTACGAATGAAAGAAAGAGAAAGGAGAAATCAAGAAATTCAACAGGGAGGAGGCGAGGCCTTCCCAGCAAATTCCCCTCTCTTCCCCGAACCATACAAAGTGGTAAGTGAATTTAGCTCATCTTCACCGTTGACACTAATTGATTCAGTCAGTTGACAGGCATTTGTAACTGTGACAGGAAGTGAAAACCACTCACACTACCACCAGCATTTATGCCAAAATTGATTTGCTTGTTTTAAATGGCAAAAAAGGAATGTACGTATAGCTTCAAGCGTCTGTGGTGTAAGAAGGGAACCCTCAGTCTGTAGGTGTTTGTTTATTCTTGTTCAACTAACGTTCCTGACGTATGTTCTACGTATGTGGTAGTCTATAAGATATCTTGTTCAAATAATCTGAAGCTTAGTTGTTAAACTTTTAAACTAATAGATTTTTCTTTACCTAATAGAACAAAATACCAAAACAAAGCAGAGCCAGAGGCTAACTTTGGGCATTTAGATTAGCTATTAAAGAAATAGCCATGTAGCATGTAGCTTGCTATACAAGTTAAATGTTGAGTTAAATAAAGTGTCAATATCTTGTTTGGATTTCTTTAAAATTGTCTGTCATTAGATAATAAATTACGGGGGGGATGGGGATCATGTCTGTCACCAAAAGAAAGAGGAGTTGGGTGAAATCTCTGATTTAAAAGCCAGGAGTAGGAATATCTGCTTAATCTGTATAACTCTTTAAACCTGAGGCTACAGTATATTGCCTATATTGTAGCCAGGCTATACCTTAATGAACACGACTACCAGGGCTCTGGCCTACTTACATTAAGGAAAAGGAAATCATTGTCTCTTAACACTGTTCACTACTGTGGTGCAAAACCTCTCCCAGAGAGAAAAGAAAAAAGAAAGAAAAAGTCATACATCAATTTTGTGCAGAAATGATTAATAACCCTATTCTATACACAACCAGGGTAAACTTACAGTGCAGATCTGCCAACTGTCTAACGCGTCATAAAAAAAAAATCAATCAATACTGACGCATCTAAAGCCTGTAGCAGTAACGTGTATCTTTTGTTTTCGAACAATTCTTCTTTCTTTTCACAGTGTGTAGCTTCTGCCTTCTTCTAAGTAAGTTTGAAATTGACAAAAACAAAGTTGGGGCTCTGGTCTATTTTTGTTTTAGATTTCCCAGCTCTTACATGCAGGCAGAGTAAATTACTGGCAATTTTGTTGTTGTTTGTTTTTTTTTTTTTGTCTCTTGAAAGCTGCATTTGCATATTTAAAGCCACTTAATGATATGTCATTGTGTCGTGGTCTTTTTTGATGCACTTATTTTGACTGGACTTATACATTTATATTCTTTAACATTGAATATGTTGAATATGCAATGTCAATGCAGCTAGTTAAGCAACCTATGAAGTTGAGCAACATTTGGAGACTGCATGATTGATAAAACCAGCTGTTGAAGATCACTCTGATCCTTTGTCACAGTGATGGCTGACTGTCTTTAAATTCCTGTGATCTCAGTAGACTTTAATATTAAACTTATTGATCTTTGTGCTGCCCGGTATGTTTTTTAAAAAAAAAAAATTGTATTAGATGCTTTGCCATATGATTGTGGCTTACAATAAATTACCTTTGGCTGTCAGATGATCAGCTGATGACTAAGTCTGCCAAAAAAGAGCAGGTTGAATTGAAACCACATGTTCTTGCTTAGGTGCTTGTCGTGAAGCTGTATAAAGTAAATAAAAGAGCACAGCATATTCCCTTCCTTCTGTTTTCTCTGTGTCTTCATTCTGTGCACACAGACAAAAAAGTAGGGCAGTCAGCTTCCAGCCTTTACTCTGCCGGTGTAATTGTTAAGAGGATTTATGTACCAGTTTAATCTTTGCCACTAAATAGATTTGAGCAGAGGTAAGTGGCTCCTCTCCTGAACTGGTGCAACTCATCAGAGTAGCAGAGAGGAATGTGTCCTGACCTGTTAGGCGCAGGCAGGCTAACAGAGCGGAGTAAGTTCTGCCCTGTGTGTTTGGACCACAACAAAGTAAAAGGTAAAAAGCTGACACTGAAGAAGGAAAAGTCATTGATGTTTGTAGGAGAGGGGAAGTCTGCTGAGCAGATTTGTCTGACCTGTGGGGAAAGGCAACTGTTAAATGGCAGGTTTTTCTGCACTTTGTGTCTCTCGTCTCCTTCTTGTCTCACTCTTATGTAATCTCTTGTTTGACTTTTTTTTCCCTTTCTCTCCCCTCCTCTGTCATGCTCCACTAAGTGGAAGCTTACTGTGCTCTGCATTGAAGGCCATGTGTGCACACAGCTGCAGCTGTGGCCTCGCAGATGTAGACCAGCAGGGCAGTAACGTTTTTATGGTGCCGAGTTCATGCAGTTGTAACTAAGCTGCAACGTACGACGAGCATGAAATTATCTGTTTAAAATCAGAGACACACAACAATGGCTGTCTGAGGCCATTATGGTTTATGAAGTACATTTGGACCATAACATAAGACCCACATTGTTAACCAAAAACAGACAGACTGGTGTATTACTTTGCTCTTTAAAATAAAGTTAAGGGTATTTGGCAAAATGCACATTATTTGAATTTGTATAATAAAAAAAATAACACAGAGGAAAAAAAGGTGATGGTCCAGTCCACAAGTTCCACTTATGTGAGCCAATTCAGCCAAGCTGGGGGTTTTAATGCAGTAAACGTTAAGATCAAGTTGTTTTTTTTTTTTTTTTTACATTTCCTGCCAGCAGATGGTGACTTTGGTTTTTGACCCTCTGTGTGCATCTGTTTAACTGAACAGAGGTCCGGGTCCTAGCAGGAAACTGGATACTCGGCACAGACGTCTGTCCTGGGCTGATTGCAAACAGGTTGGCTGCTTGGAACCTGTGGCTGCAAAGTGATTGATTAACCACTGTGTGGGAACTTTGAGTAGGCCCTCATCTGTGTCCAACAAAGAGTGTGTGGACCGGTTTGGCACCAGCTTGGACCAACATATCTTTCTGATGAGGCCACAGTTGACTGTTTCCAATGAAAACTGACAGACCCTGCTCATTTAAAGTGCTGTTTCCAGGAATTAGGTAAAAAAAAAATCATAGAGTCACATTAAATATGCTGGAGGAGTGTGGTGTGTTCATCTGCAAAGTGCAAAATTGTGATTTATAAATCAAAATAGGATGCAATTAGAAATTTTACACAATGCTTTTGGAGGAATATAGTTCCCTGGATCAGCAGACGCTCAACGCTCTTTTTAACCATGTAGTGTAGTCGTGACCAGACCAACTTTCTCAGAAATGTGTGATGATGTGAGGTCATTGTTTAAGAGGACAGTCACCAGTATATTTAGAGCCTATTCTTGTGGGTAACAATTTTGACCATGTTATAGAATTCAATTCATATACAACAAAAGTGTTTTGCTAGTCCTGTTAACTCCTGAATTCTCACACTGTGCATGGAGCTTTTGCTGCAAGAAAGAATCAGGTCTATTTTGATTCTGTCTGTTCACAAATACAGAATACCAACATTTTTAAATTACATTTTCATATGTATAAAGTTATTTTTGACTACACTGTTCTTTCCATTTCTTTCAGTCCAGCAAGGAAGATAAATTGTCCAGCCGTATTCAGAGCATGCTGGGCAACTACGACGAGATGAAAGAACCAATTGGTGACACACTTCCAAAGCTTAGTGCTAAACCCTCTAACAGCTCGTCTTCCTCTGAGGAGAAATCAGGAGGTCCACCTCTATTTGTTGGGGACCAGCGTGGTGTAAGCAGCAGCGGCAGCAGTCAGAACAGTAAGTGGACTCCTGTTGGTCCTGCAGCCAGTGGATCTTCATCACAATCACAGAAACGCTCAGGACTCCAAGGGGGCCACAGCGGCCAGAGGAACAACGGAGGCAGTAGCAGCAGTAGTAGCAGCAACCAAAGACACTCAGGAGAAGTGCGGGAAAAGAAAATAAGCAAACACAGTGCAGCATCTGAACATTCAAAGACGCACACATCGAGTCCGGCCAAAGGCTCGCTAAGTTCCTCAAGTGGCAACAGCCACTCTAGGAACTCCTTGGCTGCTGAGCAGCATCACAGCAAAGAGCGTTACCGCTCCAAGTCTCCCAGAGACAGGGAGGCCAATTGTGACTCGCCCTTACGGGTTCACACTTCTTTTACGAGTGGACAAATATCGAGTCAGGCCTTTCCCCCGTCTCTCATGTCCAAACCCGGCTCCATGCTGCAGAAACCAACTGCTTATGTGCGTCCTATGGACGGCCAGGAAACAGCGGAACCCAAGAGCTCACAAGCAGAAAGCTACAGTGCACAGTCACACAGCAGCACCATGGGAGAGATGAAGTCCAACGGCAAGGCCTCGCTTTCTAAACTCAAGATTCCTTCCCAGCCTGTAGAGGTAATGTTTGATTTGATTTATATTTAGTATACAACTGCCTAACACTCACCACTGCTCACTTGTTGAGATATTGAGCTGTGAAGATCATATCTATAGTTGTAGACAACACTGCACTGTTAATCCAAGGAAGAAAAATTCACAGGCACGTAATGATTGCAGTAAACGTCCCGATGGCTTGTTAATCAAGATGTGACCAAAGTCACGAGAACGCCTATAGAATGAGTCATGGTTCTGAAAGTGGAAGCCACCTCTCACCTGCTGCACTGACATCATGTTGTTTATGAGTGTATGTGCTGAACACTGTGTTTATCTCTCTCCAGGGATCAGGTGACGCCAACTGTGTTGATGAAATTCTGAAGGTAAGTACTAAATTGTACTTACTTAAGAACTGACCATTGAGGAAAAGGAAAAAAAAACGCTCTTCACCCGGAGTCAAAGAAAGAACAAATGTCATGACTCACACCTTACGATTCATTTTCACATTTTTGCCTCTGTGTGTGTGTGTGTGTGTGTGTGTGTGTGTTTTGTGTTTCTTTCAGGAAATGACTCAGTCGTGGCCCCCTCCACTGACAGCCATCCACACCCCCTGCAAAACAGAGCCTTCCAAGTTTCCATTTCCTACCAAGGTTAGCATTCGTCAGTTGTTGTAACCCAGCCTAATGTATTATGAGGCTTATGCCAGTTGGTCTTCTACTGCCAACATCTGCATTGTAAACATGCAGGCAAACATATTCATGTTTTTATACAGGTTTGAAATGTATTATTGTAGAATTTATATATAAACTCCATGATATTAGTAGTATTGTAAGTAATGTTGATATCTCTATTAAATGTAAGACAATTGTATCCATTAATTTTAAGGACAGATTGTTAATATGACGTGGTATGTTATATATTATACAAGTTGTGTTTTTTTATTATTACAGGATTCTCACCCATTTTCAAGTGGACATAGTGAGTATTCCATATGTCTTAGAATATATAGATCTTGTGTGTATTTTTATTTACATATATTAATATCCCTAAAAGCCCTACTTGAAATTAAATCCTCAGTAGCTCATCAAGCAGTGCAGCACAACTACTAATTGAAAAATAAGAGATTTACCCAAACATAAGTTTATTTTTTGTAAAATAGACAGATGTCTCAAATTATATTTTATTTTATATATATGTGTGTGTACTTCTATATTTTTCTGTGTATTTATTTAAATGTCTATAAATATCTTTGAATATATGCATTTTTTTATGTATATATTAGACTAACAAGAAAAAAAGCATAACAAATAGTATCAAAACCAACATTACATTACTCAGTACTAGCTTGAGGAACAATTAGTTATGTACATTTAAGACATTTACATACATTTTCACTGTCACATGTTGCTTATGAATCCTCTTGGTGCGTCTGCAGAGCGGGGCAGTTCTTCTAAAAGCTCCAGCAGCCACCAGTCCAAAGCTTGTGACGATCAACCCACGTAAGATTTTCACTTTTCTTTCTTGTTTCATTCCGTTACTTCCATTACTTAAGAACAGGACACATACTGCAGATAGTATTCACAATGAATTCGGAAACCCTTTAGTAATCGTACACTACTTACATAGGTTTAATGGTGCTTAACTATATCTCAGTAGGCTTGAGGATGACCTGAAGCTTAGCAGCAGTGAAGATAGTGATGTAGAACAAGATCCTGCCAAGAATGCCTCAAGGAACACGTCGGCAAGGTAAACAAAGCAGCTCAGTGAAACATGCTTAATGACCCTTTAGCTTTGTTTTTAAATGTGCCCGTCAGGTGTTGAGTTTCTGAAGCTGCAGCAGTGTTTGTTTTGTATTAGAAAATACTTTTAATAAAAGAGAAGATGCATAGATTAAATTGAGTCCATGCATATTATATTGTAGTGATAATGTAATGTAGTAATAGCGTGAAGAAGTTCATATTCTGCATAGGTGTACACACATAAGAAGAGTTGCACCAGTAGCTGGATGATCTAAATGTCACTTCAGCATTTTGTGGATCCCAGCAAATTTTCCCTTTGTTATGAAAAGTGCCCTTGTGTATTGAATTTATTCAAATGTGATTTATCATTTTGTTCACCTTTTGTCTCCTGCACCTCTCTTCTCTCTTCTTCTCTCTCGTACAATAACAGCAATAACAGTGAAGGACCAGAACAGTCCCGCGATGACTCCAGTAGTCACAGCGGCTCAGAGAGCAGCTCAGGTTCGGACAGCGAGAGTGAAAGCAGTACGTCAGACAGTGAAGGCAACGAGCCTCTGCGACCCGCTTCTCCTGAAGTAATGATGAAACAGTATCTTTGTACAGAATGATACTTAACTAACACAACTGTATAGTTTCTGACATATTTATAATAATGATAAACGTGTTCTTTGCTCCTCCCAAAAAACATTTTTGTTAACTTTAATAAGCTAAAGATAATATAAATAATTACAATGTTAGCTCCCAGCGCACTGCTGACTTTAGTTTTCTTCTCATATTCAGCCTGAGCAACCAATGGCCAACAAGTGGCAGCTGGACAACTGGTTTAAGAAAGACAGTAATGTTCCTCCAAAGTGCAAGAAGGAAGGCAGAGATACCGGCTCAGGACGCAGCTATGGCAGCCAGGGTGGGGGGTCAAAAGACTCAGTTGCACCTGCTCCCAGTAGAGATCTACGAGCAGCACAGAAGGGAGCAGAGGGTGGCCGCGGTCGGCAAAAGTCCCCTGCCCAGAGCGAGGGTGGCACAAATCCTCGTATTCGTGTTGGCAAGAAACAGCCCAAAAAGTCTGAGAAGCCCCCCGTGGTGGAGGAACCCAGGGGAGGCTTGCGAGTAGAGAGTGAACCAGCTCCGGAGATACCTCGAACCAAAGCTGCTACGAAGGGTTCTCGCAAACCAGTTATCAAAAAACCACCCAGACCGACCCCGGCTACTGTTACCACCACTGTAGACAAACGCAAGCCCAAGGCTCCCATGAAGACCTCTCAGCAGAAGTCCCGGGAGTTTGTGGATACGGACTCCTCATCATCGGACTCTGAGGAAAATGACAGCATCCCCTCCTCGTCGCAGACGCCCAAGTATCAGGAGAGCATCAGGACGCCCGTGTGTGTGTTTTCTCCAATGGAAGAAAAGGAGCTGTTGTCTCCACTAAGTGATCCTGAGGAGCGATACCCTGCCAGGCCACCTCAGCAGCAGGTTCTGCTGGTGAAAATAGGTCAGTGTATACCACTCGTAAGGCAAATAATTCAAATAACTGAAACACTTCTAAAGCTTTTCTTAAACTTTACATCAAGGTGAACCTTATCTCTGAACTTCCCTTCTGTCTTCATTTGTCTTTAGATCTTAGTTTGCTATCCAGGATTCCAGGGCGTCCCTACAAAGATCCTTCAGAGATAAAAATGGAGAGGGAAGACTCTGTTGACAGAGACAGCAAAGACTTCAGCAAACAGAACTCTGAGAAGAGCTCCAGTAAGACAAAGAGGAAACACAAGGTAAACCTCCGTTCCTAAACTTTTTTGTTTGATTTTGTTATTGCTTTAAAATTACTAAAATATGTTATCATTTAAGTATTAATAAAAAAACAATCTTTTGTGATAGAGATCATATGTGTTTATCACATCAGTTGTGTTGATAGATGTTTGTGACTGCAGGTGATTTATAATGATCTACTGAATGTTTTTTCATATTTTGGACCTTTCAGACTGAGGACGAAAGTTCAAAGCCAGAGAGCAAACGCTGCAAGTTGGAGGAAAAGTCTCTATCTCATCATAAAAACAGCAGTAAAGAGTGAGTATTTTTTTTCTTTTCCACTTTCTCGTTACTAATATTTCTCAACACAGAAAACAATTCATTGAACACTGGCAAAATATCGAATGTGGAGTAAAGTTCTTTCTACCAACGATTGATTAAAATAAATTAAAACACTTATTTTGATGTAAGAAATAATTTCCAGACGTGTCTTTATTTACATTCTTATCTCTTGAACCTGCACATGTTAACCTTTGTTCCAGTGACGTCTGTGCTTTGTCTTCAGTGTTGAATTACATGTTTAGGTTTAGATGTCGTTCCTGAGCTCTGATGGTATGGTTTAAAATATGGGTACAGAACAGATAAGGTTTAGGTGTCGTTCCTGAGCTCTGATGTTACATGATATGGTTTAAAATATGGGTACAGAACAGTTTGGTTAATTTTTTTAATTTAAAAATGTGTTGGTTCATGTCCCCTCAGGTCTAAAAGGTCTTTAGAGAAAAAAGAGGAGCCTGTCCCTTCTCCATCCATGTCAGGTCTGCAGCGAACGCCCAAGGCAGAGCATCCGAGTCGGAAGAGGACGGTCAGCCAGTCCGCGTCTTTGTCCAGTGGGACTGGAAGTGGAAAGGAGGCGGGGCACAGCAATAAAGGCAACTCTAGCTCCAAGCATAGAAAAGGAGAAGATAAGGGACGCAGCACACGTGATGGCAAGGTGGGTGAAACCTAACTGCCGAGGGAATCAGCTCTGCATGTGTATAGATGACAACAACTGTGGATATTGCAATGTGTACAGTCAGAGTAAAGTCTTTAATCGTGTTTGCCAGCTGTGCAATATACTGTGTTTACCCTGGAGGGAAGGAAATTACAAAGCTCTAAAAGAAGAGAAAGGAACTAAAGGTGGAGAACATAGATCAGCAAATGATCCATGTGTGCATGTTGACAGTCAGTTTGTGTAAACTGGGGCAGTGGTGTCCTGGAGGTTAAGGATGCGGGCTTGTGTCCGGAAGATTGCAGGTTCAAATTCATCAATAATGCTACTGAGGTGCACGGCGCAAGGCACTGTTTCCACACACTGCTGCCCATGCGATGCAACATTGACAAATATATCACTTAATTTCAATCTGAACCAGTATTTCATAATGTTTAAATATGCTCTACATTGTCAATCAAGAAAAAAGCAGACAAGTCCATGGCTGGTACCCTTAGAGTTACAGTCTTTATTTGTTAACCTTTTTATTTTTTATTTTTTGTCCTTCACTTCAAACACCTGGCTTTTTTATTGAAACTATATTCCCTCCTGCTTCTTTTCTCTGCAGGACAAATCCTCAAAGGGCTGTGATAACCAGCTGGCTGTGCCTCCACTCTCCATGGAGAGCTCTAAGTCTCAGAGATCCAAGCTGTTGTTTGAAGACAGGTAAGGAGAGCTCTTTTCACTGTGGATAACCTCACACTGAGACATTTAAAACAAGCCTTTAAAGATTCTGGGGTGTTTTTAATGCCAAAAACCCAACAGTTATGTTTGGTTATGAGTAAATGGGACTACATGAAATGTGATGTTCATTTACATTTTAAGAGGCTCTAGGAAATCGTTCTAAAGCATGTTTATAAAAATGTTGTTTTTTATAAACACGAAAATATTACACAAAGCATTTATGTGAAAAAAAACTGTAGTATTTTGTCAAATTAAGTTAAATTAAAACAGTTTAATTGACAAATCTGGGTCTAAGACAAAGATAACATTCAGTCAAAATCAACACTGCTGTGACAAAATAATTTGTTCTTTGATTGTTATTTATTGGTATTATTATTGTTAATATGTTTTGTTTGAATTTCATTTCAGGGTCCATTCAGCTGATCACTACTTACAGGAGGCAAAGAAACTGAAACACAATGCAGATGCACTGGTAAGAGCAATGGTCCAAAGACTATTTACATAGTCAATGGAGACATTACAGTGCGGGTTTCCACATGCAAAGCCAGGAGAGGAGACAGGTGTCAAATGACGTGGTCTAGACCTAAATGTAAAACTACATCCTGGTCAGATTTTGAAAACAGCTTTAAGGTTAATTTTACGGTATTTATCCTTGTGAAATATCTCATATTTCATGGACCCAGTTTTTTCCCCTCTGCTTGTTGTCAGTTTATGGCAGAGAAAGAAAAAGTAACATAAGCTGTTACATGATCTGGTGAGGATATTTAATCAGCTTAGTGTCAGATACTCACCTGCGGATCGTGTGATACTTTGTACAGCTGCTTGTTTAAATTGACTTTCTTTTTATTTTAAATTTATGTTCAAATATGTATTTCAGTTTAAGGGTTAAACTATTTGTTTGTTGAAATTGACAGATTTTACATTGTACTTAAGTTGGATATTGGCACAGGGAGTGTGATGTGTACTCCAACACATAGTTAATAAAATAGAGTTAATACAATTCTTAACCTAAAATCACCTTATTTAAATTTTTTTTTAATTTTATACACCTGACACAATAGTCTATGTATTAGAATTAATACAAATAATTTATGGACAGGAGATGACGGGGAAGCATTGATGGACTCAGTGCAACTGTGGTGCATTAGACAATTTTTACTGCTCAATTCTGATCACATGCTTAAATTAATTAAATTACTGTTGACCAATACAGTTGCTCTGTGTCTTTACAGTTGGACCGCTTTGAGAAGGCAGTTTACTATTTGGATGCTGTAGTGTCGTTTATTGAATGTGGTAACGCTCTGGAGAAGAGTGCCCAAGAGGCCAAGTCACCCTTCCCTATGTATGCTGAAACTGTGGAGCTGATCAAGTAAGGACCTCTTTAGTATTATTTAAAGGGAGTAAATGAAAAACAATTGGGCCATTCAGAATAAAAGACAACAATTACTGAAACTAATATATGACTTATTTAATTGTTCAAAAGTGTAGATGCTTACAGAAGCCAAATGTTTTATATGTTTTTATTTTCAGATACACTATGAAGTTAAAAAGCTACTTGGCCCCCGATGCTACTTCAGCAGACAAGAGGCTTGCAGTGCTTTGGTGAGTTCAGGGACCTGATCTCTGGATGAGTCCTGCTGTTTATTCAGTCAGTCGTCATTATTTGTTTATTTTTGTTTTTCAAGCCTACGATGCCAGTCCCTCCTCTACCTGCGGCTGTTCAAGTTAAGGAAAGACAGTGCACTGAAATACTCCAAAACACTCACAGAACACTTAAAGGTACTCCTGTTTTCCCCCTAGTTTATCTTAGCAGAATTGCATAACCACAGGAAAGCAATATAAATTCCAGGAATATACTTATTCTGTGAATGTGTAACCTACTTCTCCCTTGTGTACATAATGTCCTTTCCTCCATTTTGTTCCACAGAATTCACTGAGTAACACCCAGGCTCCCTCTCCTGGAATGGGAAAGTAAGTGCTGTCATTCTTTTTTGTTGGGACCTTTGAAGTTTTTGAATTTTTTTTCCCCCAAACACTTGTCTTATGTTGTAAAAGTATTATTGGTGTAGTTTTTCATTCACTTTAATACAGTTTGTAAGTGCATGTACAGATGTCTTCCGTGCATATTTTGAGGAAAATCTTAGCTTACTAAGTCATATTTGTATCCTGTAGAAGGACAGCCTGTGACAATTTCAGCTTGAGTCCATTTGTCCTGAATGTCTTTGTTCTGCCTGTTTCTGCTTCCTGCTACAGTAAGGCAGCAGGTATGCCCTCTCCAGTGTCTCCTAAGCTCTCCCCGGGCACGGCCGGTAGTTACTCGTCAGTCAGCAGCAGCAGCAGCGCTAGCTCGTCTGTGACCATACCTCAGCGTATCCATCAGATGGCTGCCAGCTATGTCCAGGTCACCTCTAACTTCCTGTATGCCACTGAGGTCTGGGAACAAGCAGAGCAGCTATCAAAGGAGCCAAAAGGTGACTTTCAGTTGTCATAGAAGTATATTTATATTGTTGGATGACAAGGCATGCCTCTGTATGTCTATAGGATGCACGTTGTGCTGACAGCTGCTGAAAATAAAACTTGGATTTGTGGACAAATTAGTGACACCTTGATAATAAATAGAGGAAACAAGAGGCTGTTTTAATAGAGTTTTATTGTCCGATATAATACCAAAGGTCGTAGGATGCCTAAAATTGAATCAATCACCTGATGTCGCTGACTCTGCATCATGTTCATCTGTGCAATAGATAATAAACAATATGAAAACAGTGCTTCACCTCTGCTGTTCCTGCCTCTCTATTTCTGTCACCTGTCTTATGGGTACGAAGAATATCTACATTTAGCAGGATACACATGCATACATGAAGGGTGAGAGAGGGAGAAAGCGAGAGAGTGACAGGTTACATCCAACTGTTCTGCTTTTTCCGGGTGTATACTTTGACAACAAGTGTTGGAAGAGTGACTCTAAAAATGTATTTCCCTTTGTTTGTGAGTGTAGAGCAGCGTGGATGATATTTTGAAAATAGAGTCATGACAGCAGTCACTGTTTTGCTACTGTAATGAGAGAAATTTAGATGTTCTTTAAAATTGTATTTTGGCAACAACATGATGCCTGTGTTCAGCTGTCTCATTTGCGAAGACTGACTTTAATTTCCTGTTGTGTGCCTTTTGTTTGTCTAGACTTTTTCGTGGAGTTGGACAAAGTGATGGGTCCTCTGATCTTCAACACCAGCAGCATGACAGAACTGGTGCGTTACACACGGCAAGGCCTCCACTGGCTGCGCCTGGATGCAAAGCTTATTCCCTAGCAAGGACTGGCTCCTGGCCCCCAGCTTCCACACACCACTCACCACCTCAGTCTCAGACTCCTGTGCTCAGAGACACAAGCATGCCCTCGAGAATCCACAGAAACACAGAAACTTCTCAGAAGTATCTCCAGCACTGTGTCCATTTTCTACACCAGCTTGCCAAAAAACCAATGAGCAATTAAGAAACATCTCACACATTCGACGACAGCACCACACAGGAAGATGCATCAAAAAACTGCTTCACGGGCAAAAAAGGAGCCTATTGCCATTCTTCATACAGTATATCAGCATTCTTACCTTATCTGAATGCCACGTTTTTATCTCTTTGGCATGGTAATGCTGGATTAATTATTTATAACCAATACACTAAGTTCGAGGTTTAGGTTCGTAGGCTACTTTGGCTTTTTTAACTTCTACTTTGTTTCACCAAAGTACCTCCCTTGAACACCACAGGTGCTTTAAAAACGAAGGTTTCTCTTTATCAGTTTTGTGCCTTGTATGTGAGCTACAGGAAAACAAACAGTCACTCGTCATAACAGTAATTTATTTTTCTGTCACCTGTAGCCGCAGTCGTCATTTTATGCATTTATAAAAAATAATCACATGAATTTAAGTTTTTAAGATCATTATGACTATTTGTACTCACCCTCTCTTTCTGATTTGGTACTGTGACACACTTGCAAACACATTGGTTGGTGTATTTCTATTTAACGGTGTCTTTTAATTTTTTAATAATCATATGCTTTTTTAATCCTATTAGGAAAGACATGGCTATTGTGATTTAATCCCCAGGGTTCTATTGGGTGTAGTGATTCGCTTGGCCTCTAGGGTCTGCTATCAAAGCCCCTGGCCTTCGTCACGTTAGCACTAATTAAGAGATTCTCTTTCTACAAATGTGTGGGGTTTTTCTTTACCCCGTGTAGCAAGAAATCTTGATTGAGGAATAATTCTTCAAGGATCAGTGACTTCCTGTCAGTGTTAATCTTGTTTTACTGTTTTACTGGAGTTTTTCTTTAAAAACAGAAATCATCAGGGACTATCTAGAAAGTATTGAACATCAGCCACATTTTGGTTTTTAGAAACTGGGCGTGTGTGACCACTCCATTTGGCACAGTGGAATGTCAATTCTTCTGTGAGGAAAGAGCTTCCCCTGGAGAGCAAAATCAGTAGTGATGCAGATTTGCAGTGTTGCATTTATACAACAGAGATTTAAATCTATGATTATATATTTCAAGTAAGGAGTATAAATGCCTTTATAGATTTTTATTTATATACCAAGTGACTTTTTTTTTAAATTTCCTTCTGCTGAAGCAGAGGTGGAATGTTTTAAATGTGTACGTTTAAAACAGGGTTGAACCGGGGTTTTAGTATGCAATGTATGTGTATGTCAATTGTTGCTATATAAATTTAAAAGCTAAATCTTACCTGTATTACAAGCCTATAGATAAGAATTTTAGGTTTATTTTTAGGTAAATGATTCTTGGTGTAAGTCAGCATGTCCAGATTAAAACATTTCCTTATTTCACGTTGGTTTGAAAATGATGTTTGAATTGACATTTTCTATCATCCAACACTTTTTTCTGTTTTACAAACTCAGCATCAGGATTTATAGGTTAACTGAAGATGGGTTTAAAATGTCAGCTGGTGAAAGACTGATTTCTCCTTAACTTTATGGACTTTTCCATTATTTCAAATATTAGCTTAGCTTTACCTCTAAGCCCAGGTTTCATTGTTTCTCCTTCTTTCCTTCACTGGCTCCCTGACCTTTTTTGTAGGAGGGGATACTGTTATTTCCTTCTGCACTTAAAAAAAAAGTTAGTCAGAGGATGTATTATTTTAATCTATGCAGGATTTTTACAAACAAAAGTGTCTGTTTATGTGGGGGTATATTTTCCAAGCTTAGGATTTTTCTCCCTTCACCTCTGTTTTTTTTTTTTTTGGTCCACCTCAGTGAGAAGCCTGATGAACTCAAAAGTGTCCAATGCCTTTTAGCTTTTGCAGTTTTTTGAGTACTGGTTTAGAATGAATGTATGAATGTATGCATGCATGCGCGTGTGTGTAAATAGATCTGTTTTTATAACCAAACACAGATGGCTTGAGCCATTTTGTACTTAAAGCTGGAGGCCACTTTTCTCATAGGAATTCCTCTGTCTTCATACACTGGTTCACTTTGTAAGTACAGGTCTGCGCCTTGTGTAGACAAATGTATAAATTAGGCATCAGAATTTGTTTTTAACTGTTTGTTAATCCCTTATTTATTTTTCTTTGCTCCTTTTTCCCCATATTACCGTTGCTATTACCATCTGAAATAGGAAGGTATAAATGTATAGGCTTTGTTCCTGATGAAATTTCATTGTAAGTAGTGCTTAATATTAAGTCTAACCGTAAAGAATCCAGGGTCAGATGATGTTTTTGACATTCAGTAGGAAGATGTTAATACTTGCATGTTTCTATTTAAATATGTGTATAAATTGTAAATATAACATTTCTTTAAGGGTGGATTTCTACTACAGGTTGGCATTTTTATTAAATTTAAGAAATCCTGTAAATATGTTGGTGAAGATACTTGATGCACATTTGTATTTCTCTGTTGGCTTTTCTCCTGTGCTCTTCTTCCAGGCTGTTGCGGAGACGCCTTTAAAGAGTCTCTCGACGCTGTATATCCAATGTGTCTCTCACTCCTTTTCTTACTGTAGTATACTTGTATCCTGCTTCAACCTTTCTCGGTATCATGTCTCTACATCATCATCAATGTCTCCAAATCAAAGTGCGAATATTTTGTCTTCTCTGTATTTGATATGGAGCTGTGTACTTTTCATGAAATGTATATTGTCGATCCTAGGGCATGGATGATGGGTGTGTACAGTCTCTTGTGTAAAACCACGTCTGTTTCTTCCTCATGAGATGTTTTCCCTTTTGAAGAATCGGTCCAAGATGTCTTTTGCAACAGAGGTATTTCTCTACAATGACAACAGTCGTAGCAATTTATACAGTACGTTGTATAACACCCGTATTTTCTAAATCATAACTCTAAAAGGGAGCCCTGCAGCATACACTATGTACGATAGTCCAATTTGGGTTAGTTTTACGAGAACTCACAGTAGAGATACTATGTAACTGATGCAATAAGATGGAAGGTACTCCCTTGAGTTTGATCTTCAAACTTAGGTTATGTAATTTAAAAGCATTCTTGTGAAGTGAGTATTAATTGTGACTAATGAGAGTCTGTCCTGAATATTCTTTGTATTTTGCCGTATTGAGAATAAAATATATCTATATGGATTTGTTTTGATGGGGTTGTCCTTGCTTTTATCCTCAGTTTCTAAGACCATATAATAAGCTCATACATACTAATACCTGGGTTTGTAGAGGATTACAACATTAAAAACTACAGCAAGCAAAATTAAAAGAGGTCAAAGTTCCACAACAGATATTGAAATGGAAAAGGCATCTGATTTAAATTAACATGTTGAGACATGTCTCTCATGTGTCTTCAACATCTTTGACAAGTTTTATTACTATATCTATGTCTAGCGCTGAGCTGTACTATCATTACTTTAAAAACGTAATCAACACTAAACGTTACACGTTCAACCAACCTGAATGTCTTTGGCGACCCCTATAGGAAATGGTGATCTTAAGTAGCTACTGTCCCTGGCGTGATGCAGTTTCCTGTTGCAGAGCTAATCATTATGAGAATGAGGCAAAGGTTTTCTAAATAGTTCACATTGCTTTGCATGGCAGAGCCTCTTAGAAATGATTAGCTGTTTTTCAGTCGACATTGTGCTCCCCTGACAAAATTAACTCTTGTGTGGACAGATATTAATTTCTCATTAAAGCAGCGCGATTTTTTATGTCTTTGTTGTTGTTGTTGCATTAATATACTTTTTTAAGGGTTGACCTGTTCACCGTCCATCAACGCTAACAAAGCTAAATCTCTTCCTCTTCTATTATTTTTTATTTTTATTTTAATGTAGTCCCATCATCTTTGCAGATACTCCCACCTAAAACGTTTTTATATACTTTTTATGAACCAAACCTGTGCCATGGTCCCAGGTTGATCACCCACGTTGACGTCAGATGTACTGGAGATTTAACTTTTGATGGAAGTTTACAAATTTTGATTAAGGAATTAGAATTAGCTGTTCCAAAGTTACCTTAAGTGGTGTAACTTCTAACTTTAATTATTTATTTTAATTATTCAATTACAGCATGTGACTCTTCTAACTAAACTAACCAACATGAAAACAAATCGGAGAAATTAAAATTTTTACTTGCTCATCCTTCCCGAACCTTCATTGCTAGGGAATGACCAATGGAATGTCGTGTTGATTAAGGTGGCCCGCCTTTTACCGCATCTGATTGGCTCACTTGCTGCTCCCATCATTTCCATACGCTTGTCTTTAGTCTCGGGAGGGAGTCGTGAAAAAAGGCTAAAGAGCGAGGAGGAAAAAGGAAAGCTCATTACCGCTGGTTGTGTTGATGAGACACGCCATCCGGCTAAAGCGTAGTTAACTTGTTTTTATATATTTTCAATAGTTTCATTCCTCTTAGAGGATACCAGGTATCGCAGGGAGTTGTGAAAACAGAGAGTCTACCGGGAATTAACAGGTAGGTGAAAAAGCCTTGTGTAGCAACAGGTGCAAGCTAGTATCGCTGTTGTTTGTTGGGTTTCGGTTGTCAACTGTCAACTTGTTCGCTTTTTTTCAATAACGAGGTACAAACGTTGAATGTTTTTCAAATTAATAACATTATTTGTATTAAATCTATGTTTGTATGCTGGACTTAACATATATTGAGCTGTGCAAATATCAATTTTAAAAAATACAACTAGTCCAAGTTCAGGTGTGTGACGTGTGTCTTTTGGTACCCGGAGAGCTGACATGTCTTGTCGATTAATCACTAAGCCGAGTATCGTTTAAATGTGCTGTAAGTAACGATTATATAATTTTTTGGTATGTCATATAATTAATTTAGTATTTAATGGAATAGTCCCACAGTAGGTTGATGTGAATGTAGACTATCGCTAAACGACCAAAAAGAGGTAAAATTTTAAAATTTTTGCTAGCAAAAAGGTTTGACATACTTTGGTAGATTTTTATCAGCACATCATATCAACAAGGCACATGTGGGCGACATGTTTTCTCATTTCATGTAGGCCATGCTACTGCTAAATACAATATAGAAAATACAATAAACAGTAGTGACTGTATAATTATTACTACATGTTTTATCACAACATAAATTGCACAGTTTTATTTAAAATACTATTGATAAATGGTGTTTTGTTTTGTATTGTAATCTTTAAAAAACAAATCTGTTGAGTCATGTTTACACAAAAAATTCCCAAAATAAACAATTATCTTTATAGTAGTCAAGTAATTATTTTAATTGTTTTGCAGATAACCATGTATTACTTAATTAATTAAAAGACACAATAGCCAATCTAAATGCATGCTCTTAGTAAATGTAAGTATACTTTTGAAGTAAAAAAATATATTAAAACTACATTTAACAAATTCCTCATTTATTATCAAAATGGTTTAGGTTGGGGCAAAACAAACCCTTTCAAACGTCACCTTTGGTCTTGCTGTAATACTTGTTGTTATAGATTGGTCAAAGATGAACACGGTGGTTTGTTATTATAAACCTTTTTCACAACCTAACCGTACACCTTCTTTAATGTAATGTGTTTTTACAGAAATATCTTTTTTGTTTAGCATATCTTTTTTATTATTATTATATTGTCTATTCAAATTGATACCAGGATCTAAATTATGCACAGGGCGGCCTTTCTGTCCAATGGCTGGACTATGTTTTATTTAAAGTGAGAACAAAAGGCAGCATGACTGCAACAGGCTACATTGGAGGAAACCAGACACTAGTGTTTTGTGCTGCGCTGAAACTGAAGCACTCATGCGGTGCGTTGATCAGATGGTGGGAGCAGGAGAAGAACACTACCCTCTCTGTGTTCTACTGCTGGATGATGCATTGAGGCTTCTGATCCAGCTCGTATGCTAAACCCACAGAGTCTAACCTAAAAGATGTACAGTGCAGAGAGGCGTGTGTAGGTGTAATGAGTGATGATATTATGCATACAGGCATTGACAAAGGGAGGTAGGAGTGGAAAAAACTGTCATCTTATTTACTCAGGTGCCCTCATAAACACCTGCTGGTTGGTAACTGCTCTCATGTTGCATTGCTTATTCCTGCACCAGTGGACTTCAGATTAGGTACACACTAAGTGTAAAAAAAGACATACAGTCTGGTTCCAGAGCACACATTTTCAGATGGTTGAAGTAATAATAATGTGGAGTAGCTGGTGTGTGTCTGTGTGCAGGAAGATTAAAGAGGAAAGGAAGCCAGAAACAAAGGATGGAAGCACATAGAAGGGCAGGGCTATAAAAGAGAGTAAGGTCACAAAGCCATGGGCCATATGTAAACTGATCCGTCTTGGTCTTTGTCCTTGCCAAAAAACAAAATGTTCACGTATACATTGTTAGTCACATAAATATACCGTCCCTGAATGTGTCTGAAATACTTTCAACTTGCATTAATACAAAAACTAAAGAACCCCCTTCTCCTTTATTTAAAATTTAAAAAAAAAACCTTACCAACAAATTATAACCATACCAATAGGATTTCCCTTTTCTTTTTTCATTTTATGCAACTGCTAGTAGTATGAGAGGAGAATCTCTATAATTAAATAATCATCCTGTACAATCAGTTTGAACCCAGGTGATGGTGTCAAGGTGTGATAACGAACATGGACATAGCAGGAGCAGGTCAGAGGTATAAAGCAATTAGCAGCTCGTCAGATACTATTCTGACCTGTAATGTTTACATTTTTGTAACACAGACATGACATTGTTACTACCTTTGTACCAGCATGACGAGGGCTCGGACGGCTTTCAGTGAGAAAGCGGTAAATACCTGTTATTACTGTGATTAATGATTAGCTCTTTGTGTATTCGGAAATTGTAACAAAAAAAGTATAACCTCACATTCTGAGGATCAATATCATGTGAATCCAACCACTTCAGATCTGGATTACATGTAAATTGTCTCAGTGTTCGTTTTACAACATCAGGTGAAGATAAGGACTGATGTCATGGTTTGTGAGAGTCGTGATGTAATGGTTTTTTGTTTTGTTTTTTTACTGATAAATGTCTACCACGGAGACGTGATAAATACAGGGGTTGGTCATAACGTTCCAGTTTTCTGTTGCACTACTGCAGGCACTATTTAATAAAGAAGCAAACACTGTTAAATGTGCTCTCACTTTTCCCACAGTTCCCTAAAAAACAGAGCGGTACAGAGGGTATTTAAGGGATTATTTAAAGGTTTCCAATTTAGACATATATATATTGAGTTCAACAACAACCTAATTTTTAATAGTTAACATAGTTAAGTACAAAATGCATACAATTATTTTTGCTCTAATGTTCTCTTGTAATTGGAAAGTTAAAACCAAACTTAAACATTGCTGTGAAGCTGACTGTTTTAGTTTCAAAACACTGGTGTGTTAGTGTTGAATACAGGTGTTTAATGTCTAAATAGTGACTGTAAGCTACCTGCCCAGCAGCTTACAGTCAACAGACCAGGGAGTGAAAAGGTGGATACAAAGGCAAACAGCCTTTATATTTGACACAAGTGACTAGAAATAGTTTGTTGACTGCATGTCTGTTACGCCTCCTTTTGTAAGTTTGCTGAATGACAAGGCAGTCTCTCCCTCATTGATGATTTTGTAGTATCCTGTTGTAGTATGAATTGACCCACACTATTTTTAAAATAGACAAGAATTGGTAAATAAAAGTTAATAAAACTATTAGAAACATAATACGTATATAGATTATTTGTAATAGAGAAACTAACATGTTATTCTTCCACACTCTACCAAACTTCATCTTTGAAACAAATTTTATCTACTAATTTGTTTTGCTCTTCTCTTTTTTGACCTGTGAACAAATACAATGAAACAACCTGTTCATTGTTTTGGGGTTCGACCACTCACCTGTCTGTGATTATGAGTTATTGTGAGACCCTCCTTTTGTTAGAGAGCCAGAGAAGACTTTTCTGATGTAGATTGATGATATGAAGACAAATGGCTGCCAAAGGTTGTCTGTGATTAATATGAGACTCCCCTCTTACCTTAAAGGGATGGGAAAGTGTGTATGCTTATTTGTCTGCTTATTTTGCTTATCTGTCAAGACCACACCTTGCATAACGTATGCTCCTTTAGGTCTCTTTTTCGTGACATGACACCGTCATATGTCACATGGACGTGTGTGCACTTGTGTAGTGTCTGTGTGACGGTGAGCTCATATTTAGCAGGATAATTTTGCATATTTCTCAAACCTGTTGATCTGCAACATGAAACTACTAACTCTCCTGTCACACAGGATCACTGTTTTTGTTCATTCTGTACAAGGTAGAGTTTAAAGAATTAATGAAAAGAGCTCTTGACCACCAGCTCATGGTTTTCAAACAACAATTTTTCTTGGTGGGTCAGAGAGATGCTGAGAATCAATAGGTAGAGCGTTTTTTCCTTTCTTTGATCCCTCTACATTCCTCTTCTATATGGCACTGTGCCCGAGGAATGGTAACCTCAAACCAACAGCAACACATCAGTTCCTTAGTAGTGTTTTTTTAGTTCAACCTGTTAATTATACACACATGTAAAGAACTATGACCAATAATAAACTCTACTACATAAACATATTGGTAGATTAGTAACATACTGCCATCTGAAGTGCGTAAGAGCTTCCAGGAATCTCCTTATCAAATTACGTTTTTCAAAGGTTATGAATACCATAGGATATGTATTCATTATTTCTGAGACAGACCTATCCTCTAGATCTGACTGTAATTTAGAATTAATTTTGTGTTTGAAGCTTTTGCTGCTTCCTTTTACTCTTTGTCTGAGTTTGGGGAATAAAATGAAGAAAAACAGACAGACTTTTGTTAGTGTAAATGTGTGTAATATACCAGTATAATACACTGTGTGAGCAGTGTAGCTGGGGAGATGTCTAGGATTTCATAGCCCCTGATGAAAAGGTGTGGGTGAGGGGTTGTCACTGAGCTCTGGAGCTGCCCACAGACACATTAATATGGTGATGTTGTCTAATAAAGGAGGTATTTACAGCTGTCAGACATGGCTGGGAGCACAGGTTTGATTTCTTCTTCTCTGTGTGTGTCCAAGGAGTTCTGACACCTGGTTTCACTGTTTACAAAAATTAATGGGAGCATTATTTAACTTGCACTTTATCACCATTAACAAAGTGAGGAATTGGTCATTTCCTGCTGTATTTCTTCTTGAATGTGACCTATATCTGTGAGAAATTGCTTTCTTTCTGTTTAATGTTTTAAATGTTTAAAACGATTTAATTTGGCAATTTTAGACATGTGTTTTTGATTTATATGTAAATGTTAAGATAATAAAAACAGATGGTTGTTCAAGTTTGACTCAGACTGTCCAAACTGTCTGGGATGAGACAAAAAGCCTTAAAAAAATAAAGAGCAAGCTTTGTGTGTAGCCAACCAAAAGAGACAGTGTTTTTAAAAAAATAAAGAGAAAGAAAAATAGTGAACATAACACAAGGATATATTTA